CGAGGGCGCCCCCTCCAGGGCTGACTGCAGCTTGCGGAGCCCGGTTGAGCGCGGGCTGGCCTGAGCGGTGAGTTCTAGAAGCCTGCTCTTTCTAAGACCAAAGCCTCCACCTCACTCGGTTATGGTTACAAGTGATGGAGCGCGCGGGTGCGCACGCCCTCATGAAACAAGGGGCTGGCCTGGGTCGGATTGGAGAGCGAGCCTGTAACAGCGTTGCAGAGAACGCCTCACCGCCTGTGTGAATCGTTCCTGTGGAGCTTGGGGTCCCTGCTCCCCTTCTGAGCCACCTCCTCAATCGGCCTCAGTTCCCTCCTCTGCGCACCTCCCAGTGCTGCGGGATCGTGAATCATAACCGCGGTGTCAGTGGAGGCCCGGATCAGGCTCCCAAGCTCTATATCAATTGTTGAAGTTTAATCTTTATGCTGTGCGACCCTGCTTTTCAAAGCTGGAGGGAACACTCAAGATCAGGCCTTTGACAAACTGACGTGCCTGATGGGCGATTTTGTGTGAGTGGGTTCAAGAGAGAGTGAGCAAATGTCGGGGAGATCTTGTATGTTCATTCCACAGAAGTCCTGTCACCCGTGGCCTCAGCTGAGTGCTAGAAACTGATATCTGCCCCGAGGCAGCCCTGGGTCTATGGAGACGGAGCTCTAGGGAGGAGGTGGCCAAGGGAATAAACTGGGGCCCTCAGACTTAACGTTTCCATGCTGAAGGAGGACCGTTCTCGCCATCAAGGCTGGCCGGGACCTCTCCCCACACAGTCAGATAGCCGGGAAAGGGAGGGGCTCTGGTGTCCAGAAAATCATCACGAGGGCCTATGACACCTGGACTTGAAGCCTGCTCTGATGGCTGCTTCTCCCTGAGCTCAATAGGGGAGCTTTTTTGTCTGGTCTGCAGTCTTTGAAGACAGTGCAGCTTCCTTGGGAGCACTGCCGCCCTAGAGGATCTGCAGGGCCTCTCTGCAGGGCAAGGGTGCCCAACTAGGATCAGGCAGAAGTGAAACAGTTCAAACCATGAGCCTGTCCTGAGTCCTGTGTCCGTGCAGGGCATGGTTCCTGATGCCCACCCTGGGTGCTTTCTTACTCAGGAGTAGCAAAGTGCCCTGTACTGTCATTTGAGAATGTGATCTTGGAGGAAGAGCCACTATGGTTATTAAAAAAGGTCTTTCTTATCCCGAGGCCATAACAGGGACCACTGATCAGAACTTCAGCTGGTTTGTGCAGAAGCCTCCATACCACAATCCGATCATCAACACCTGAACCAGAGAAGGACTGGCCTTGCGTTTGGTGTTCCTGTCTGGCTAGGAGAGCTTTTGGAGGGAGGTGACAGCATGTGTCACCTTTGCAGTATACATATGGAGGGGTTATTAGGAAGAGGCCTTGTGGACCAGGCTCCCTAGGGACTGAGGTATTCCCTAGTGTGTGAAGGCTGCCTAGAACAGAGTGCTCCTTAGGAGTGGGGGTGTTCCTTCCGATGGGATGCTTCCTAGGTGAGAATGTGCCCGGGGTGGTCCTAGAGAATGGGGGAGCCAAAGGAAGATGAGGAGAAGGTCAAGTGGGCACTGGTCAGATACAAGAGTTAGAGAGATGGCTTCTCCTCCCCGCAGGCAGCACTAGGGACCTCCCCGGATCAGAGCGGAGCCCTCTTGTGAGAAACAGCAGGGACAACAGGTAGCTGCCCAGACTGTGCACAGCCTCACGCTTACAAGTGATGGCTGACTAGACACAAGATATATAAAGGCAAAGGGATCTGCCCTGGGAACAGTGTGCAGGGTCAGCCTGGCCAGGGCATCTGGAGGGCTTGCCAGTGCATGACCTGGGTCCTTGGAGTTGATGGCTACATGTTGTAGGGATATTGGCCACAGCTCCACTCTGGGGTCAGCAACCAGAGGTAAGAGTTGAGGAGCCTGCTCTTAGTCCTTGGCTTGAGAGCCCTGGGCTGCATTGGGGCAGGTGTTGAGGCCTCTGAAATAACAGGGACATATAAAGAGGCTGGACGGGCTCCTTTGCCCAGAGATAGCCAATTAAGCCCGACAGTCTGCTTCTAGTTGTTCTGTGGCAGGCAAACAGTGTGTGCACCCTAAGAGCAGTTGGTGACAGGCCACACTGGCAGCAGTGGGTGTGTCTGTACCCACTCTGTGGAGGCATGCTGGGGAGATCCTGGTGCATTTCAGAAGGAAAGCCACATGAAGTGAAGTATCCTGGGTATTCAGAGGTAAACTGATGAGTGCTGCCTAGGAGGGTGGGTTGGCCCAGCCAGGACCACAATGCCTGGATGTTGGGTCCTGGGCCCTCAATTCTAAGTTAGGCCTCTACCAAGGGTTTTGGATGAATGTCTCTGGATGAACCCTGGGTGTAGGGCACGTGCTGCAGAGCAGTCCTGGCAGGTGCTGATGGGCACTGGTCTCTTTGAGTTACCCTGCTGCGTTCACAGGTATGCATGAACACATATGTACCTCACTCCTCCTGGACTCATGCATACACATATTCATGTATGCATACCCACAAAAGTATGCTTATTCAAGTGTGCACACATGTACCCATTGTCTATAAATGTGAATATCCATGAAGATACACTTGCATTTACATGTTGTATGCCTGTGTACCTGTTCATACTACATGTGTGCTTACACATCACTTACATGTGTACATCCACACATTTACATCATGTGTGTACATACATACCTTTATATGCTTTACAGTATACCTGTGTATTTACTCAGGCATACACATGTGTATGTGTATCTGCACCTGTCAGTACTGGTCAAAGACATGTATGTACACACATATATGCATGTGCATCCACTTGCATATGCTTATGTTCACACACAGTGTATGCACATGATCATGCATAAGCATGCATACACACAAATATGTCCATGCACATATGCATGTGCAACCATTTACACACCTTGATTCTGAAGAGAGTGGAGTCATCAAATGTGAATTTAAGCTCCTGATTATGTCTGTCTTTGCTGCTTGGCAGTTGAATGACCCTCCCCACTCCCAGGCCTCAGTTTCCCTGTCTGTGGAATGAACACATTGCACCACTACCTCTAAGATCTGTGCTGGCTCACATATTCCCTGCCCCTGAGGGAGTGTCACATCTGACCTGCCCATCTTTGTCTTTAGTCGGTGCCTGTAGGAGCTGAGGAGAGCCGGGGTCAGGAAGATACCCCATTTTACCTAGCTCCAACTGGTGACAGAGTCATGGAAACAGAGCTGGGTCTCTTGCCTCAAGAACAAGAGGACATGTTTTTCTTTAGAGTGCAGCTGAGGATTATTTCCCCCTATGTTTATGTGCAATTTCAGTTTTAAAGATGAGCCAGGGAAAACTGAAGTTTGCTTCCCTCTCTACCTCTCCCTGAAGAATTCCAGAGACCAATCTGTCTTGTCAGAATGTGGCAGGGATCCGACAGCCAGGCTAGCTCCTGGCGCCCCAGCCTGCAGACTGAATCCATTGCATATTGATCATTGATTTGGCAAAGTCGAGTTCCAACAGAGCTGGCGAAGCCCTCTTGAGGAAGAAGTGCCTGCAGGACTGGCTGGGACTGACATGGAGCATAATGGAAAACAGAGGGTCAGCGTCTCTTACCGAGTCTCCACTGTGGGCCCTGGCACTGATCAGCTGGGGTTCGAGCTTCAGTCTGCTTCTGCATCCCTGGCTACTTGCAGCCTCACTGCTTCCAGACTGCCATTATGCCAGCCTGCACCCTCGAGGCCCATATCAGAGTTCCAGCTGCTCCCACGGCTGCCCCAGTTACCTGAGCCTGGTGTTTGCGGGCCTCAGCCCCCAATCCTCACATCTGTCAAGTCCCTCACTGGTCTGCAGACACAACCTAGCATTGTCTGTGTGCCGCCCTGCAGCTACACAGATGATCCGATCAAGGGTTCTTTTTCCCTCTTCCTGCTCCTCCAGCCTTGGCTTTTAGAAATTGCTGGTACAGGGCCTGGAGCTTGGACCGTGTGGCCGACTGGGTTTAGAACATGACCTCAAGAAACCAGCTTTCTTTCACTGACTGCTTTTCAGGATGCCCAGAAGGTCTGTTAACCCTTGGTCCAAGGCCTGCTCGCAGCAGGGGCTGCAAGTGGGAGACTGTAGGGCTCAAGCCAGGCAATAAGACTTCCTTGACAAGTGAAAAATGGAGAAGACCTCCTGCTGCCCTCCTTGTTTGGTCATGCATGTATGAGGCTGTGTTGCTAAGAGATGTAGCCGCGGTCCTGTGAGCAAGAGAAGACGAGGACGGGGGTGAAAGTCACAGAGGAAAGAGTCTGTGACCCTAATGCCACTACTTTGGAGCCACCATGAATCACCCTGGAGCCACCCTTGGGCCAGGCTTCCTACTGTTGAGATACAAACTAAATAAATATTCTCTTCCCACTGTGCACCCAAAGCTTCCCATGGTCAAGTTCTTGGGACCTAGAATATGTGGCACCATGTGCCTAAAGCTACCTTTATGTCTGAAGGAATTAAGGATCTTGCCACACAAAGTGTCCTGGATCATGCCAATGGGTCACTGTGAACACAGGAGTCTCTGAGTGAAGGAGAGAGGCAGGCAAGTCATGGGAGATTGGATGATGCAAACAAGCCAGGG